TAACTGAGATCGCGGAATGAGCCGGCCACCTTCCAACCTTTTTCGAAGTAGTATAGCGTAATTTTGTGAATATGCGATGGTTTTCTAGAGACATTTTTGTAGAGAAAATCATGAAGATCATTTCTATAAAAAAAATCAATTTCAGCGCTCAAATTATATCGAAAGAAAAAAAGCCACGAAAAATCCGCAGTAATTATGCATCAACCTAATAAAAAGAAGGCAAGTGGTCACTTTCCTCTGGCCCATTCCAAGTCAGTGCATCCACTCGAAACTAAGCGGGCCACTACAGCGAACATGTCTAGGACAGTAAAATGCTCTCATCGGGTGTTCAGGCTTAAGCAGGAACAGTGGAGCTCTCTTTGAAGGAGCGTCGTCCTGCAAGACACTCCTCCCCGGAGCAGACTCTACGAACTCACTTCCGGAAGCACGGACTCTTCTACCCCTCTATTCCCCACCAGGAAAATCCGATCAGCTATCCAAGAATAGAATATTTCTGGATTTGGCCTCGTTTCCATTCGAAGGGCTCATCTTTATGCTGTCTTTTACTGTAATTCAAAAGTTCAAAATGATAAATAGAAACACACTTGATCGTAGTATTTCGCCTAACTTCTGGTGCAAAAGACGAAAATTTTGTTTTTGCCTACACCTTTTTGCAAGCCATAGACAAGTTAAGAACTTTGAAATGTAAGGATGTTGCCTACATTCAGATTTGAAGCAGTGTAATAGGCGGTTCGAATTAGATACCTTTCCAATGGTTATTAATATTCCTTTTGACAAAAATGTCTTTCTTTCTCGACACAAAAGTTTTTTCTCTTTATTTCATAGGCAATCAACGACAGACCCGGTGAAAATTTGGAGAATAATGTGTACAAAGGGCAGTAAACGTAGCAAAGTGCACATAACATCAATAATGATTATTACAGAATAGCTACTCTTCAGGTGATCAGTTAGTTATCTGTTCCTAATGCGATTCATAGAAATCTCGAAATGAAACGCCTCATCAGGCTTATCCTAGTGAGTGGGTGGCCACTCAGACAATATGGTAACCTTTCGAACTCATACGAGCATCGCCACTCTTCATACGTGACAGTCGACGTCGCAATCGAGTTCGCTTCTGAACAAGACTTCTTATTCTAAATCCTCTTGAAGATTTATGTAACCAACAACTCACCGCCATCTTGCCAACTGGCTGATATTTAGGGGAGTTTGAGTTCCAATAGTGACATATCATCACTGCTGTAAGTATGAAGCAAACTCCTGAAAAGAGCTGATCAACTGTTCTCCACAAAAGAAAGGCAAGTTCAGAGTGATTTTTATTGAGTCTAAGAAGCAAATTGTTCGGTAAAGCCGCAGTATAGTGAAGGTTGTCCCAGAGGGATGATTACCAACGCCAAAAGCACGCTAAATATCAGAAGTTGTGAGACAACACTAACCGATTGGTTTCCCTTTATTCGCTAACTAATCGCCTCATTGTACAGGTAAGTGTTCGTCTGCATGGCCATCGGGATAAGACTTTTTATAGTTGCTAAATAGTAGAGGCAAATTCAATGCGACCTGGCATAATATGCACGCTCAAACCAACGAAAGAGAACTCAAAATTTTTGTGATCCCGATAAAGACCGTACAGAAGGATCAGTAGGAAACAAACACAAAAAGCTAGTGTTCTCGAGAGTGCAAGTATCCAAACAGTCCGTTCAGGAGTCGATCGTAATCTTTGGCGTTCTGGTAGAATGCCAAGGAGCCAGACGTACTCAAGTCGTTTATGGGGGGAAGGGGTATCAGAGAAAACTTCATTGGCATTCCTACCGTATGCAAAATATTATTACGCAAATTCCGATGCTAACACAGAGCATGGGGTCAAAAAATGCTAACTTGTTGAAGGTTGCTGTCTTGCTTCAACTCAGACGCTTCCGTGATTCGTTGAGATGATAAACTGTTTACGACAAAGCCAACCCTCAACCAACAAAACGACCGTGAATTGGTAAGGAACATGGAAAGAGCTATTGTCTGCGGAAAACCGTCAGAAGATGAGCAGAGCTGACTTAGTGATCCCTCACACAAATGTATTGAACATGGCATGGGGAATACCCAGAGTAAAAAAGGCTGTCGACAATTTTTTTTCCCAACCTGACATTCCATTCAAACGAACCGGAAATCAGAAGGAATGACCCTGATCACCAAACGAAACACATACTTCGGCAAAACAAATTATTTCCTTTCGATCAATTGACCACATGATGCCGAATGTATACAGTGAGGCGGATAAAAATCAGACTTTAAAAAAGTGCAAACAACTTTTTGAATTTGGATAAATGCACCAAGAATGCAAATGCAATCATAGATAAATTCCAACAAGTTCCCTAATTTTCACTATCATCAATCATTTGGGAAAGGGAACTTTGTAAACGATTTTCAAAAAGTCTGAATCTTTCGACTCTACAGAAGGCCCTCTCACGCCACAAATCATGAGACAACTAACAATAGTCCCTGCAATCGATTATTGGCCGAACGCATCCATCCATGAAATCAAATTTAATTCTGAGAGTAAACACAAATTGGTTAATCAACCCCCTTGAAATCCAGAATTTTTCATACATCAATGACATGTTGGCCAAACGGTAGTGAAATGTTGTTGACAGGGTTGATGGTTGGTTTCTTGCTGTCTCCGAAAAATGACTACCCGCACTAGAAGCGAAGATGTTTTGGGACGCATCAACAACATTTTTATGTGTCCGTCTCTAGTTCCCCACCATGTCCATTCCATGGTATTCGGTGAATCGAGCCCAAACCAACACTCAAGTATTCATTTTACAAAAAGCAAAGATCAGTGATCATTCGACCACTAATTCCGGTAATGGAAAGGTCAAATCATTATTTCTAAGACCCATCCGACGTCGGTATATACGAAGTTTTCGAATTAAATTGAAACACTTCCAGGTGAAGGAATTAACGTTCGCTCTGTTCCATCCAGATCTTAGGAAAGGCTAGTCACAACAACTTAACTCGCACTGGCGAAATTCGAAATGGACAATCATATGGATAACAGCTTTTCAGTTCTACACTTAAATGTGAAAGGAACTGATCTAACGGCTGGAATTTAGAACGACTGTAGATGACCTACAACTTCGAAGAAGAAGGGACATAGTAGAGCGGCAACTACACAATGACACCCAGTACAGGGAAATGCTGTAGTGGTCCATAATATACATATATTCCGAAATACCTCCCTATTTAGCCGCTTCAAACTCCAAGAGAAATAGTGTTGTAGAGGGTGATCCAGTAGGAACTCTCAACCACATCGTTCGTTTTAAAATCTGGCAGAAACAATTGGAGAAAAGCGGCCGAGGTGAACCACGACAGGCCCCTCCATGATATAACAAAACTCTGTACAGCTAAGGATAACCACAGAAAGGAAAGAAGTACTTTCTAGAAGTACTCTTCATTCCATCCCCTCGCACCCCTTCACTATTCTCGTGGCATTGCCTATAATAAACGATTGCTTTTTCCTTTTAGGCTCTCTTGCTTCTGTGAAATTCCTTCAACGTTGGCTGACCTTTTCGATACCCACCCTCCGCATTCAGGAGAGAAGTCGCTGACGTATTTATATGTATAATAGGTGATGAACGGAGTGTACATATTCAATACTCTAATACTGACAAGCTTTTTCCCTCCAATCTGACATCAGGAATATATTTCTTCTTTTTCAAAAAAATATTTAAGTATTTGAATTTACAATAAGTTACCGCCTTACCTACAGCCACCGAGGATAACAGCATAAAACCGGATAGGCCATTGACGAGTCCGGTGCGGTCCTTCATTTTGGAAAGGTGGTCTAACCAAATTCCGGTAGTAATGACGGCTAGAAGATTACCGACTGCCGAGATTATGCAGAACACCAGCCACATCATCAGCATCGTGCGCCAACGATACCTGAATTAACAATCCATTAAAAGATAGTTAGGAAAAAAGTTATCGAAGTCAATCAATCCCTCTTTCGGCAACGGCATACTTCTCTGAGCCGATACAATGTTTTTCAGTGACAATCAAACGTGAAAGTTAATGCTTTCATCCTCCCAGACAAGCCTGGCATCAAGTAACCGACCCCAGCGGGATGGAAGGCTTGGTTGAACAGGGCAGTATCGACCCGGGACCGATCCCTTGCCCATGCGTGTGTGTTAGGGCGCCCCTTACCAGAACACTACTCACACTTACAACTAATTCCTTCACATTCACTCGTCAAGTTCTAGGAAATACATGAAAGACGATTTCAACTAAATCCTCGCTGACCATCCCTTCCCGTTAGAGTGGTCATGCTGGGAACACCCATTTCATTACATTCGGTCATACTGTCGCAGAGAAATGAAGCTTATAACTTCTAACCACTGATGGAACTAATGACCAAATGTCAAATATTTAGGAAAGATAAGATTCCAAGAATGGGAGAAAGGATCTAAATTCTCGACTACAGAATAAAAAAAGGAGAGAAAAAAAAGTTGGAGGATGAGCCAACTTGCTGAAAAAAGCAGAATAAACTCAATCAAGGAAGCAAATGTTAAAAGCCTAGGCTGTGATTATAATATGACAACGCTCCAATTTGCTAACAACAAGAAATACGCTGGCCGAACCTGTGATGGCTGAAAAAGCCATTTAAGGTTTTTCACCAGCGGCACTTATCTGTGGACACCTACATCGCAGACAAGAACTTTGTGTCGTTCAAAAATGGATTTCAACATCAGTATTTGCCCCATCTTTGTTTTGTACCAATAGAAGGTAGCCCTCACCTGTGCACAGCTCCGAGACCGAGGGCTCCCGTAAGTAAGCCAACTAGAGCTGCTACCGTATTCATATGACAGGTGCTCTGGTACTCAGCCACATCTGAATATCCTGGACAAGCGAAACCATGAGCGAGAAACGCAAGCGAAATTGCCAGTTCTGCTCGGCACAAATTTACCATAATTTTCACATATCTAAATAAAATAGATTATGAAGAAAAGTTTTTGAAAGGCGTGGCCCAATCCCTGAAAGAGTGCCACATTGAATTGTAGGCCATGAGGTGCAAGAAAGATTTAGGACATACTCGGTGTGTTGGAAGCCAGCTTTCTGCATGACGGTATAGGCCTTGTAGCGTCGTCGCTCCGTCGCACTGAGCTCCTCGTCAGTCTCTGAACTCTGAACAAATAATCAACAGAATGAATCGTTTCCAACCCTCTAACACTGTATCTGGGATTGTGATAGAACATTGTCGCTGGTAGAAAATTGTCAAAAATAGTCGCTTCTCTTAAATCCCATCGCTTCCCTTAAAGGCACTGTTCACGAAGAAATGGTTTCGGAGATTTGCACATGGTTTGAATTCGACACCCCCTCTGATACCATTTGTGCAGGAATGAGGTCGAAAATGGTCTGGATAGGGCACAATAAGGGGCCGGAGAGTGAGCCACGGTCGCCCTCCGCCCCTCGCTAGGCTGACTACGAAATCTATTTGCCGTTCATCACTTTCGCATTGGAGCGAAGTTGGTGAAAAATCGATAAGGTGGTTATCAAATTGCCAGAGTCTGGCAGTCAGATTGTCAGGCAAATTGGGTGTGTTGTCTGCTATTGCAGACATTGCGTCGCCTTCGTGCACTCGCCCGAGGGTGTGTGTACATTAGTGCGATTCGAGCTGCGCGCGACAATTTGCGCGGCGATATTCATAGCAATTCTGACGAATTTAACGCCTATTATTGGGCTCAATTTCGCAGTAAAGTAGAGTAGTAGGATCAATCGACCATACTGATACACTTTACTTCACGTTTGTGCCCCAATAAAGGCGCCGGGGCCGTTCGAATGGTCACGAACTTCGCCGCGCTATTTGCCGCGCGCAGCTCGAACCGCACGAATGTACCGGTCCCCCCTCGTCCGAACATTCCCTTAACCCCCGTTCTTCCAATATGAAACTCGTCCAACCCCCCTTTCCAGCTCTTTTTTGACCCTTTCTATTTCTTTTTGTTCATCGTTTTTTGCGCTTTTTTCGTTGTAATCACTTTATTCTAGTGTAGTTCTATGAATTCCCGTCGAAAAAGGGTACCCTAAATTTATCGTAAACGGTGCCTTTAAATATTCATTGATGCAGTGGATTCGGCAACGTCATCGCTTTCATTACAGGCCTTTAGGGTCCTTTTTGAGGAAGTGAGTAGCCATGTTATTCCCCGAATCCCTTCTTGCTCATTTCGGACACCCTCCAAAACAACTTCGGTTGTGAACAAAAAACCAAAATTCACTTTATTTTCGTGCATTCCCGAGCTTTTGAACGGGGGTTAACATGGCTACTCCCCCCGTTCCGTATGAGGAGATTGAGGGAGCTTTTTTTCATGATCCAAAGAACCAGCACCATGTTAGGTTTTCTTGGTGAATCAGCTCTTTTCCATTTTTACTTCATTCATGGTGCAATCAAGTGTGATTGCAGATTCTCAATTATGGTAGGGGCTTCTTACAATGAACGCACAAAGAGCAATCCACATACCCACAATTTTTAGAAAGATTGCCTAACAAATCATTCCCAAAACATTTCCTTGCGATTTTGGCGGCTCTCTAGTCCCCTCGCATAAAATATAAAGCATTCAATGATCGAAATGGTTGTTCATTGCAATGAGCAAAAAAAANAAAAAAAATCTCACCAAAATTTGGACGATGGACATCGTTGTCCGCCTGAGGTATACGGAACGAGTTTGTGATTCGTGGATCGATGGTCAAATGAAAACCGTCCACCAGCTAGCTCTCGTATTTCTGGCTAGATCCGACCGATATGAGCTGGATCCCGTTAGACCCGCTTTTTAGCGCTATTTTCCCCTTCGGTCTTAACCCCTCCCTCCTTATCGAGGGATAAAAATTACTTTAAATGCAATACTGATTTTTTAGCACAATGACAAAAAACTCGACTCACAGCATGTGGCATAATTATCCGCAGATCGGGCTCTTCAAACGGACGAAGTAAGTCCATCCGGTGGAACTGAAATCAGATGGTTCATATTGAAGCCAAACAAGTGAATAGGCGAGTAATAATATGGGACATAGAGGAAGGTGGAAGAGAAGCAGAAGAGAGAGAGCGAAGTTATGCACTGCTCAGTCCATTTCCTGATGCTTACACTAATGTCTTAAGTTCCCAGAAGCGTTGAGTGTGTATGCGATTTAAGCAATCGCCTTAAAAACCGAGGATGTGTTAAGGCCAACAATGTTATCTTGCGATGAAGGAGAAGCTCATTCAGGGGTCCCTGCCTTGGGAGAATCTTTCTAAGCCTCTCCGTTCCCATACACTTAAGTGGGCTGAAACTTCTCGTATCAAACGCTCGAAGCGCATTCGCAATCTTCAATGTAAAATGGAGATAGGTCATACATGTTAAAAACCACGGGAAACCTTTTGTAAAGGACGGAAAAAGAGTGGCGTCCTGATATTTCAACACGGGAGTTTCTACGGTGCTCAACGTTATTCCCAGTCCTCTTACAGGCAATTCTTAGATGTTTGCTCAGTCATGTAACACCAATTCAGAATATTCTTCCCCATTTTCTGCACTATACATTAGCTCTACCACCTATCGTCTCGCTGACAACTCGATCTGCACGAGCAGGGACCGGCGACGCCTTCATTCGTCCCTAACGCGAGGTGATCCAGCCTAGTGAACCCTCCTTGCTCGATGGACACAAAACATGTAATTCTTCTCGTTCAGAGCATCCGTGATGAATTTTGACTATCAGGAGGCGACCATATTTACTCTCGTTTATCCTGAAGGAAAAGCCCGTGCTCATCGTTAGGAATATTCATTTTCTGATTAACTTTCGCACTTTTTTGTAGCTGATGCTCATCCAGCCTGTACAGAGTTCGAGGATCTGTGGCACAAGTTATGACAGAGAAGGCAGCAAAATTGTAAGAGGAACGAGGAAGCTAATGGTCTTTGCCTTCTTCGCCCCTCCCTTCGATGCTTTTGAATTTTCCGCTCGTTGCTAATTTCCTTCTGCTTTAGAGCTAAGTCGTCATCACGTTGGTTTCCCACCAAGATTCACGGAGCTGCTCACAGACTGCTCGCAGACTCACCTCACTTCGAACTGCTCGGAATTCGGTGTTATAAGCACGAGGTCATCAGCGAAGTTGTCTACCTTCCCTCCCATGCCTTCCCATCCCAAATGACTCATGCATACACACAAGGATAAGCGCAACGCCTTGAGGTTCACTCATTGATCCCTCTGAAGAAGTTTCAGGAGATTTTTGGAGTTCACGGCTTTCCGTGGGTTGTAACACAAATAGGATACATATTCGAGCTAACTGATGGCTGCTCACCCGCCTACAAAGTTATTTCAAGCTGGAAGTTTCGCTTTGTGTCGAGAAGGGGTTTATCAGTCCTAAAGTGGTGAACTATTAAAATTACATCTTCTTTACTTTCGAACATACTTGTCCACATCCGCATACGTTCCTTCAAGAAGACTGAATAAGATTAAAGTTCCCCTTTCTAGCTGTCTGGCAGGGCTTAAGCAGACATGACTCCGCTTTTATGAAAATAGCCGACTCCGAAATATTCGCCGTACTCCTCGAGGAACCCTTTCTCAGATTCCAGAGTTCTACGAAAGAGGAGAGTTCTCTGGAAAGCGATAGAACCCGTACGTGATGATCTCCGGTTAGAAAGCCTTCCAATGTATTCCCTACAACTCAGTTCCTCATTAATTCCCATCCAATGTTGGGCCAGCAGAATTACTTTGCGGAATGCCCCGAACATCGGATCCAGGCTCAGACATTGAGCCCAAATTGAAGAAAAACGTCTCCGATGTCACAAGGAACTGTTTCCGCTCTGAAGAAGGACCTACTTGCAGGGTGGAAAAAGGTCAAAAATCATCTTTACGGCATCAGTCAATTGTTTGCACTTTTGTACACACGATACATAAATAGGCATGGAGTACAAACGTACGGCGAGTACAAAGAGCAAGTGCGGTAGCGTCACGCTGAGAAGTACTAGCTGTTTTTACAATGATACCATCGATTCCCTCGTTACGTAGACATCAACACCATCATCGCTCGTAAAAAAGTCAATCTATCAATGGCAATGTTGAATTACTTGTCTGATGACAGGCCTCGGTCTCTCGAGAAAACCACTTACCCTAATCGAATGAAGGGTATCAGATGTTGATCTTGATGGAGACGTAAGCGAAGTAGGTGATTTCTTTACAGTTCTACTACAAACAGTGGCTTTACATGAGAGCACCGCACTTTGCCATGTTCTTAGAGAGCGTATTATTCGTAAAGAAGGCTTATCTCTCCTTAACATCTGCAAGCCGCAGGCCAAAACCCTGTGGAGGGAAGGGGTCCGGCAACTTCTCCCTGAAGACGGCATCGCGCACGCCGCATCCGCCACGTATCGCAGGATCGCGATGGCAGATCGGAGCGCGCAATTTGTGAGATAGGGAGTCCTTTAATTATTTGAATTGACTGACCGCTCTCTTCAATTTCAATGCAGTCTTGATCGTCGCTTACATAGGACGAGTCATTCTAATTAATCAAGTCTAATAATCACAAAAATGAAATAAGAATAGAAAAAAACGATCCAATCTAATAAAAAAGAAGGGCAATTAATGAAATATTCCGCGTCCTATCGATTGGCGGGGAGGCGGGGGGAGTATGGTAGTTGCGGTGACATTTGCCGCATGCCGCAAGGGAGAAAGCCGCAATCGGGGAGAGGTTCCGTTATCCGGAGGGAAGAGGCTATATACTCAATGAATGAGATAACATCTGGTACTTTTCTCTGCAGAACACGGAAACTAGAGGATCACCTGCTCCATAGATTGGATAAACGAACCGTTGCAAACTTGTATGAAATAAAACAATCAAATCCAATATTGATTAAAATCAGTGGAAATTTGCGTGCCTACGTTCTCTACAAGGATCTAGTGGTTGGAACGTTATGGATCTTCAATTCATTCATCTCATACGCTATACAAGACGTTAGAAAGGACCAAACAATGATCAACAAGGATCAGCTGAACAGAACAATGCAGCACAGCGGAACATATGAATTAAAAAGGAAGGAACAATTAAGCTTGTAAAATGTTTTAACTACTGCCCGTTGAAGGATGCCTGAGAGCCTTAGGTGCCAGTGGCCTTGTAAAACAGAATGCAATGTCCTCAAAAAAGTGTATTCGCCAATCACGACTGCCGGAAAAATCAAATAAGAAAAGACGGTTGAATCAGGCTATAGAGTTGGTGACACTTGATAGACTGCTATTGGTGCACCATCACAAACCACAAACCTTACCTAGTTCCCAAGAACATTCGATGGCCTCGTCGTCAGTTGGTATGTTATCTAGTTAATTAGAAAAGTTGACAATCGTATAACCGAATTACTTTAGAGGCAGGAAAAATCGAGAAAATATAATATAATATAATATAATATAATATAATATAACGATGTACTTGTAATCATAATAGTTAATTAACTAATTAATTATAATGTTCGCTTGAGCGGTGGAACCTCGGCCTCTGAAGAAGGCAATAACGTCGAAACGTTAGGCCCTTGATCAACAAATTACTCCACATAACAATCTCGCACAAGAATACTGTATTCATAAACAACTATGCCGAGGTTAAAGCAAGGGAGAAGTCGGAGGCTATTACCATAATAATTATTCCTCCCATTTAAATCATTCAGGAGCAGAAGAGAGAGAACGTTCGATACGGTAACTAAGGCGCCTAGTGCTTGATGTCTCAAATTGATCACAGTACGTTTAACCTCGTTGGTCCAGGATCACTAATTCGCCTTGGCCAACTAGCGTTTCTTATATGAAGGTTTGGACCCACGCCAGAAAAAGTCCACGGTAGCTGTTTTCCCATCCGTATGTGCTCATTCGCCGACCGTTTACTCACATCGTTACTTGGCAGTTAAGCAAGCCTTGAATTTCCTAAAATTACATCGGAAGCCGACCTCCTAATCATTGTCATCCTACCTTAGTCAAGGCCGATAAGACTCGCATCGTTAAGCTAATCTTTCGTTGGGCGTACATGTTGCCAACTACGAATTGATTTTCAAGGCAGTGTTTCCCATTGGAACCATATCTAGTTTAGAATAACCAGAAAAGGATTTTCAGATTAATCTGACATAAATTAAACACAATGAACATGCAAGCAAATTATTAAGCTCAAAATCACGTCATCAGCGAATCATCACGGAAGCTTGGATGGAATTGTCTTCCCAATAATTTCGAATGAAAACCCGATCAAATCATCCTATAAAGTTTCTGGATGACGAACATTTTGATGCCTATGTTATATATTAGTTTAAAAAGTTATCATTCCTAGGGCTGTGGTGGTTTTGTAGCGGATGTTGGAGACTGGAGACGACAAATATCACGTTGTGGACTGAACTCTTTATGTACGCGTACCCATTAAGATGGCAGTGAAGAATCCAAAGATATCAGCGCCCGAACGGACGTTTACAGGAGAATTGAACACAGTCAAAGATGAAATGAATGAAACGTCCTCCGTGAAATCATGTGATTTTCTGCTCATTTGAAGCAACAAGCGACAATTCACCAGATTCAAGAGTTCTTCATAGAACAGGCAAATGATCATACATTACGATAAAGGAATTTTCGAAAATTGAGCAAATTACCGTGCGAGTAACTAACCCACCGCTATGCGAACTTTAGCAAAACAGTTCAAAGAGTATGCTGGCTGTTGACCTGACCGTCGGCCCCCAAAAGGAGTCACTTGATGCAGTATTTTCTAGCAACTTCGACTGCATTGTGACTTTACTCGTTTGCAACAGTACTTTTGGGTTGTAATTTGATTCGTTAAAATCGGCGCTGATTTGTCCCCATTATAAGAGAAAGAAGGTGGACAGGTAGGTTCTAAAAAAAGGAACATGAAATCATAGACTTAGAGCGATGTGGGTTTTCCCCCAAGGACGAGGGCAATGATGTCAGAACGATGGTGTCATGAGGTGAAAACATCTTTTATCACTC